AGGATTTCGCTTCAAGGTGTTAAACTTTAATTACACATTTCAAGAAATGGTTCTTTCTTCAAATGAAGATTCAGTTTATGTAGGGTGACAAAGTACAAGACTTTGAAGCTTGACACCATTACTGAAGGATTAGTAAGACTTAACAATAAAAGCAATTAGTAAATAAAAAGTCATTTTTGAAAACTTTACTCAGTGAGCCTTTGACTATATTCCATATCCTTTTATAGGTAGAAAAAGACAAAGTTGAAGCATGCTTATAAAAAATTATATTAAAGGAAATTAATTCAAGCACATTTTTTTCAAGCAGAATTTGCCCACATTACATAAGACTACTATAGAATCTGAATTGAACGTAGTGACCCTAAAGCACATTGTGTAAAACCACCCACTGAAATGTGGGAAAAATGAGATTTCTGTATTTATTTCTACGAGAATAAGACTAACATTTGAGGGTGAGGTACTGGGTGAAACACTTTACATTTATTAACTAAAGGCACGGGTATAAATGAATAACTCACTGCAAGTCACAAACTAATAAGTAGCAGAAGAGATGTGAACCCAGGCAATTTGGCCCCCGATTAATCACTAACCTATAACACTTCTCATAAGGTAAGCTTTAGTGACACTTAATATCCTATTTTCAATGACTCCAAATGCATATTTTTCTCATTTTAATATCTCTGAAGACAGACTGTATCTTAAAATGGATGGCATCTTACAATTGACAGTATTTTTTTCTTTCTTGGTGGTACATAAAATCATGGTACTTCTTAGAATCAATGATGTCTTGTTTTTGATGAAATGCACACACTTACTGGGTCTGTTAGGTTAGACGTTCACAAGCTTTGCACTACATTCAAGATATCCTGAAAGAATGAGACTTCCACAATCATAGGAGATAACAGTGTTTTAACTAGTTGAACTGTGTGTTGCAATGTACTGAGATTTATTCTATGCCTAATTATGTGGATTTACAGATCCCATCCAGTTTCAATTGAACTAACCCTCAAAAAAAGAGTACCTGACAAATGGACCAGAAGAAACCACTCACTGAAGATAATAGTACCAACGCAAAGTACAATGGGAACAATAAGAAAATAACAGCACTGAGACATCCTCCCCACCAAAAAAGTTTTAACAACAGTATGAAAAAAATTCTAAGGCCTATTTGAAATATGGCATTATATAAACCTCATTTTTTTTTGTTTTAAAGATTTTTTTTTTTTTCTCCTTTTTCTCCTCAAGCCCCCCGGTACATAGTTGTATATATTCTTCATTGTGGGTCCTTCTAGTTGTGGCATGTGGGACACTGCCTCAGCGTGGTTTGATGAGCAGTGCCATGTCTGCGCCCAGGATTCGAACCAATGAAACACTGGGCCACCTTCAGCAGAGTGCACGAACTTAACCACTCGGCCACGGGGCCAGCCCTATATAAACCTCATTTTAAGTGTATATTGAGCCTTGAGATGTTATCTAATGATAGTAGTATATGTATAAATTATAAACAAACATATTTGAATTTTTTCCCATAAAAAGCTTAGTGCCAGCCCCATGGCTGAGTGGTCAGGTTTGCACGCTCTGCTTTGGTGGCCCAGGGTTTCACCGGTTCAGATCCTGGGCATGGACCTACCACCACTTCTCAAGCCATGCTGAGGCAGTGTCCCACATACCAGAACTAGAAGGATCTACAACTAGAATATACAACTATGTACTGGGGGGCGTTGGGGAGAAAAGAAAAAAAAAAAAGATTGGCAACAGATGTTAGCTCAGGGCCAATCTTAAAAAAAAAAAAAAAATTTAGAGACCACTGGAATACGACAACTCAACTTCTGGCCTTAAAAAGAAATCCCTTGGTAATATCTCTTTATGTTAAATAAAATGTTATGTTAAATAACATCCTCTCACAACTGATGGGGGGAGGTTTGCAGAAAAAGGAAACTACCACTGCATTTTACACAAAAAAGGCACCAATAAAAGGTATAGCTATTTGTGGATTCTGTATTTGCAAATTTGCCTCCTGCTAAAATTTACCTGTAAATCCAAAATCAACACTTGAGCTCTCTCGGTCTCCCCAGACATGTGTAGAACAGGAAAAAATTTGAGTTGCCGGATGCACACATTCCCAGCCGAGGTTAAACAAGGTGAGACTCTACCTTCTTGTTTCAGCAATCATACCATAAACAAGTGTCCTTTTTGCAATCTATTTAGTACCATGGTTTTTGCGTTTGTGTGCTTTTTGTTGGTGAATTCGCTGTTTAACCGAGGGCAGTGCTGAAGTGCTGTCTAGTGATCCTAAGCAAAAGCAGGCTGTGATGTGCCTTATGGAGAAAATAGGTGTTAGATCAGTTTCATTCAGGCGTGAGTCACAGTGCTGTTGGCCACATGTTCCATGTTAATGAATCAACAATACAAATTAAATAAGGTGTCTTTAAACAGAAACAAATTTAAAAAGGCTATGTATTGATTGGTTGATCAAAGTGTTTTTACCAAAGGCTTGCAGGAACCTAACTCTGCACTTCCCCTAGGAGCAATGGTTCAGTATTCACTAATTCAGTGTTTGTGGTGACTACAGAACATAACCATAGAGAACAGTGACAACTGACTTAGATCCCTGGTCACTTTCACATTAATATGAGATTCTTTTGCCTTACGCTCTGTTCCAACATTTAAAGTTAAACCATTACACTTATTAGTTTCTGAATTTTAAATGCATTGTAATTGAAAGAGCTATTTTCAGCCTTTTATACAAAAGGGGGAATATTAGTTGTAATTAAATTAAACATTACAAAAAGTTTGTTTTAAATGTGTTCAACTATACTTTTATAGTTTCTGTTCAAAGAGGCTCTCATAAAGTCACTAATGTTGTTTGCATGAGCTGTTACATAAATAATAATCTATACTATATTACCAACAGAGTTAGTTTCTTTGCTTTACAATCATCTAACACTGATCATGAAAAAGCCCATCCTCTTTTACTACTGGGAAGCAAACACCATGAACCTCAATGAATTAGGGCTTGGTAGCTCTCTTTGAAGACAGGACTATAATCCTTTAACAGACCAGTCAATCAAAGTCACCCACCTTGCAAAAGGCCCCTTTTAAGTGAATCTTCCCTGCCAGCAGCTCCTACAGGTGGAGCCCTTTGTAGGTGAGTCAGTCTAGTATGGTGGCTTTCGAGGCAGAAAGACCCGTAGGGAAACCCCTGTCAATTATAGAGCGAGGCCAACCCATAGTCTGGGGCCCTGGGAAATTGCAGCAGATCAAAGTTGAGAATAAGTACAAGTTAAGGAAGCGGAGAAAGACTTAAGAAAATAATAAGAACTTGGTAGCTAAACGAAAAGAAGCACACACTGGAGAATAGCTAAATAATATGAATGCCAGTGAGAACCATACTTCTGCTGCTGAATACCCTGAAGTTGACTAAGAGCCTTCTATGGTTTGTTTTCTTTTTGAACTATCTTGGTCTTCCTGTTATAGCTATATTCTGGTGAGATTCTGTTTTCTTAGTTCCATGAACTACAACCACTGCCCACCACCCTCTCAACCCCATATGAAGCATCTGACCCCAAAGAGAAGTTGGAAAACAGCATCTTAGAGAAGGTAAGAGTCAAGCATCCAAAAGAGAGTGGGCGTGGGGGAGCTGCTAGACAAACTAAGGTCCTTTCCAACTCCAACAAGCCACGATTCTAAGCTGTGATCCAACTCGTTTTCTTCAGGGTAACACAAATCCCCATAAATTTGCCACCACCAAGTAGTAGTTCCTTTTATAGTTCTAAAATGATCCTTTAAACAGGTGTGCCCTAGTTCCAACATTCTAAGTTTTCATAAACATCCTCATTTTTAGCTTTATGACTTTATAGATTCAATGATAACTTTTCTTAAGCCTTATTTCCAGAATGTAGGGTCCTTATATTTTCAGTATAACACCCAAGCTCCCTAGAACTTCTAACCCAATGGTATATTTTACACTATATACGTATACTGTATTGCAACTTTTTTTCACTGGGCATTGCACCTTGGATATCTTTGTGCATAAACACCTATCTCATTCTTTTTCAAGGGCTGGTATGTTGTTCTATTACACAAATGTACCATAATTAGTATTTCACCAGCCCTTATTAATGGACCGTGGGTTGTTTCCAATTATTTACTATTACACACAATTCTAGGGGTCAACATCTTTTTACATGTGTATCTGTGAGCATGCAAGAGCAGCTAAATTATCACTGGATCATTGTAAGTTGCTACTCTGATTTGTTCTGAGCTTTCATATGTCTTTCAAGAGGAACAAAGACGAGAAAGCACTCAAACTGTCGCTGCAGATGCAAAAATAATTAGCAATAAGCAGCTTTCCATTACATATAGATCAAGGACTCGGAGAATTTTGGTTTCTCTCAGTGCAGAGAGAACGACAATCGAGGACCTAAGAAGAGCGTGGCATGATGCTTTTGATAATGTTCACATAAAAAGGAATGACTGCGAAAGAAGGGCAATTAGAAAAACGGAGAAAGTCTCTCTTCTTTGGAGGGGTCGCCCTAACGTGAGACTAGATCTTAAAGGGTTCCCAAGCCAAGAAAATACACTTTAATTACTGAAGAATTTTTAAATAGCTCAGATACGAGGTTAAGAAATAAAAGCTTAACAGGTGAAGCTTTGAAACTTCAATCTGATTCTTTAACGTTCCCAATTTCCGAAAGTTCAAAGGTCACGATGGATGTTTAAAAAATACTATATATGTGTATATATTAAAAAAAAAAAAAAGGAAAACACGATCAACGTCACAGCTCCTGCCTTCTTGACGATCGCTCCAGCCCCGGGCCCGGCCGGAGGAGGAGACCCGCGGCGCCGGAGCCGCACCCACAGCCGCCCCGCCCGCCCGGGGCCCGCGCCGGCTCGGGGTCGGGGCGGTAACGGCGGCGAAGGGAGGGCGAGGCCGCGGGCCGCGAAGGAGCGGCTTCCCAGACCGCCCCGGGGACGAGGGGCCGCCCCTCCGCTCTCACCTCAGCTCTTCGTCGACGCTCCTGCCGGGCTGCTCGGCCGAGGCCACCACCGAGGAAGTCGTGGAGCTCTTGTTCTTCAGGATCCCCTTGATGGGCCGGTGTGAGGCCGTCGAGGCCGCCATTGCCCGCCGCTCCGGCGGTCGGCTCAGCGTCGCTGTTTGGCGCCCGCCGGGTCCAGGAAGGAAAGGGCTGGGCGCGAGCAGACACTCGCCAAGCAGCCGCCGAGCCCGCTAGGGGCTAAAGCAGCCGCACCTGCTGTCGCGGAGACGGCTACCGGCGTCGCTGTCACGACACAATCACCCCGACGCTCTGGCGCCCAGCCGACGCCGCGCGGCTGGCGGCCCTGCGCCCGCCCTTGGCCACCGGCACTTTATCCGCCGCCACCCCAGAGAAGCCGGCCTAGCGCCCCAGCGCGGGAGCGACGCCGACGCCGAAGCCAAGCGGGCCCGCCCTCTCGCGATATCTAGGGGGGGCGGGGGCGGGGCGAGAACAAAGCCAACCTCCTCGCCCCGCCCCCTCCCGGCCCTCTCGGTGGACTCGCCCCTATCCCGGCTCGGCTCCAGGGAGCCCAGGAGCTGCTGCGGAGAAACTTGGGGACGTTCCTGGCTTGCCTGTGTAGAGTTGTACATCTCTCCAAGCACGCTCACTCCCACCGCTTTATGAGGTCCATATTGTTATTTCTGTATTTTATAGATCGGAAAACTGAGGCTCGAAGGTGCCATCATTCCCCAAAGACGTTAGCTGACTTTCAGAGAAATGATGTCTATCTTCTCTTTCCTTTCAGTTAACCTGCATAAAAAGTTTAATTCTCTATAAAATCATGGAATATCAGCATTGGAATGGCCCTTGGAGACCTATTATGAAATCATAGAATATCGACTTTTATGACATCATAGAATATCAGTGTTGAAATAGTCTAACTTATTTTTACCGTTGGGGAAGCTGAAAGACAGAGAGGGGAAGTGACCTGACCACTACCGTCACATAGCCCGAAGTGGATGGACTATGTCCAAGTCTAGTGTTTCCCATTTTTACCACATTCTCCTCTATGTTGGTAACCCTATGGAAGGTACTACTGGCAGAAGTTCCTAGAATTGTGGTTTATAATGTGTTCCTCCAAAAAATCTAGGGAATTCCCTGAAGGTAACCAGCTGTCCTACACTGGGTGAAATAGTCCAGAAGCCTTGGGGACTGTTTGGTCTTTCTTTGATGAGTCCCAAAGGAGAAAAACAAAAGCCCTCCGCCACACACCCTCCCCCAGTTATCCTCTCTGAGCGTGAATGAAGGATCTCAGGGAGGACTTTGGTGAGAGCAAGAGTTTGAGGCTCTAGAGTATCGGGATATGTGGATGCCCTGATTGGGGGTGCTGTGGATATTGTGAGAAGTGGATTCTGTGGAGTAAAGGAAAGGGCAGAAGTTCAAAGCCCTAGGAACAAGCTCAGAACTATGCTGTATCTGAAGTCAAAATAGGGCCGGCAGAGGGATTGGTATCCACTCCAGCCCCCCAGCCCATCTCCATGCGGTGCCAGCATCAGAGTTATACAGATGGAAAGAGAGGAGGTCTCAGAGATTAAGCAAGTTGCCTTCTGTTATGGGTTGAATTGTGTTCCCCTAAAAATAATATATGTTGAAGCCCTAACCCCCAGTACCTCAGAAGTAATCTTATTTGGAAATAGGGTAATTGCAGATCTAATTAGTTAAATAAGAGATCATATTGGAGTAGGGCCCACCCTACTCCAATATGACTGATGCCCCTATAAGAAGATGACCATGTGAAGACAGACGAGGAGGGCGCCGTGTGATGACAGAGGATTAGAGCGATGCATTTACAAGCCAAGGAATGCCTGGGGTTACCCAAACCTGGGAGAGGCATACAACAGATTCTTCTTTAGAGCTCCCAATCCTGCTAACACCTTGATTTTGGACTTCTAGCCTCCGGAACTGTGAGACATTAAATTTCTGTGGTTTAAAGCCGCCTAGTTCCTGGCACTTTGTTATGGCAGCCCTAGAGATCCCTTTCCCTCCCACTCGTACCCCCAGTCTCAACTCCCTCATCACCAGGCTCCTTCCCACCACTCTTCCCTGATTATCCTCATCATCCTCATGCCAGGCCAAAGCAGAGCAGACTAGTCTACCCAGAACTGCCGCCTCCAGCAGACCAGCCCCTGTGGATTCACAGACTACTAGGTCTGGAAGGGACTTTGTCATGCCCACCAGGTAGCTGTACAGCCTCTTCTCCAACAACCCCAGGGGCCAGGAGCTCGCCATCTGCCAGTGCAGCTCATTTTATCTTTGGACAACTCTGACTCAGAAAGTTCTTCCTTAGATTGAGCTGACACCTGGTTCCCAGCAACGTCCAGCCACTGGCGTAGAGGGTCGGAGGAGAGAATGTGGATGGGGGAAGGGCTGTACTCTGTCTTCCCCCATGGCAGCAATGTCACTCAAGTCTCCTATCTCTGTGACCTAAATCTCATCTCCCTTAGCACAGGCTCTGTTCCTTGAGGAGCAACACTCAGTTCATTGTTCTTAGACTTCTGTTCCTCAGGAACAACTTCAGGGTTCCTGAAAACTATTCTGTTTTTATTGCCTGGCCCCCAGCCTGTAGGTGAGTTTCTGGCATGGAACAGGGCCTCAGTAAAGGTGTCAATGCCGCCTGAGATAATGGAGGGGGAAGTGAGCAGGAAGGGCAGAGGGCACCAACTTTTCTATCAGAGCCTGTGCGTGTTCCACAGGGATTCCCCTCCCACCACCCACCACCCCAGCAGAGGCCTCATCAGCCACCCTTGGCACCTCCCTCTCCTGGCCCCGCCTCTGTTCCTGGCCACATGTCTCCTACTACCCAGTGGATCTGACATCACACCCTGACAGCCCTGCCCAGCCCAGCCTCTGGGGCAGAGAGAGGGCTGTCATTGAGGAGGAAGCAGAACGGCTACCTCCCTTCCTGAGTCTTTTCTACTGCAGCTTCCAACATCTGCATTGCCTTTCCTGCCCTGTCCGCAGGAGTCCAGGTCAGCGATGGTCATCGAGTTTTCAAGGGAAAACAAAAACTTCCCTTCCTGCTCTAAATTATTAGGCAGATTTGCTTTGTTCCTGCTTGGGCCCGGCAGTCACCTCCCTAGACCTGACTGTAACTGGGCCCTTAATTAAGCACGGCCTTGCTTTGAGACCTTCTAATGAAAAGAGTTACCACAGTATGACATAATGTGTTTTATTACAGTTAATAAAATAAAAAGCATTGGAACAGGAAATGATGATGAGTTCTCTGAAGAACCCAAAAAAATGTGTCCCTCATCAAAAGTCAAACTTTTGCCCCTTGTTTCTTCCACTCCCAAATCCACAAAAAGTGAACGCAGAGGGAGAGGACTTTCTTAATGTTTAACAATTAATGAGATATTAGTTTGACTGCAAGATTGTGAAGCCCAGTGCAGCTTTTCCTTATGTTTTAGATTAATTGAACCACTATTTCTCACTGTGGCCCAAAGAAGATTTCCAAGTGCTTCTACACAGAGCTCTCCTTCTTGCCTCTGCTGAGATCCACTCTTGCAGGAAGTCATCTGGACCAAACAGCCCAGGCACTTAATTTGGCTGTATTTGTGTTACATTTCCTGCGTGTCGAGGCTTTGGCTGCCGAGTGATGGAAGCTTCCATTCTGGTTTCAGTTTCTAGAGGTAGCTCTTGAGCTCAAGGCAAATCATATATTTAAATATATATACCTGTTTAAAAACTATCTGACAATTATTTCTGCTCTCTTTCTGAAGACTTCATCACGGTTGCCTGAGTCAGTGCTACGTATAGGGAGGAGGCGAGGAGACGTGTTTAATGCATCCCCTTATGCGGCCGAGCCAGTTGGCTCTCTGCTTATTGGAATCGGCTACTAAGGCCAAAATACAGAAAGTATTAAAAAGAGAGAAAGAAAGCCAAGGACAAAGATTAATCATTTTCTGCTAAAAAAATGGCTTTGATTTGCTACTGTGGAACTCCCCACCATTTCTCTTCTCTGAAGATATCTACCAGAAAGTTTCCTTCGCCTCACCACAAAAGCCAACAACTTGCCAGAATTCTTTTCTGAGGAGACTCACAGAGCATACGCACACCTGTTGGGTATATAAAGGTTTCCTTAGTTCCTAGGTGTTTCCTAACCCTTTAAAAACTAGTTAAATTGAGGGAATCTGGAGAAGTACTTACTTTTTAAAAAACCCATTAGACAAAAAAATGGAAAGAAAAAAAAGGCGGGATAAGTGGTGTGAACAACCTTGGAATGGTGAGTAGGAAACGTAAATTACTTTCCTGGCTAAGCTACAGATTAATCTGTGCTTGCCAGAAATCACTCAGTTTTTTGGAACTGTAAATTTTCCGTAAGTGTCCACTGGTCTAGTTTGTAAATTATTGCAAGGAGTAAGCAAGCAATGCCATCTATTGTAATCTCATTGTGCTAATATTGCCAGATTCGACTGCATTTTATTATTCTATGAGCTCATAATGGAATAAGGAGTATAGACTTTGATTCAGAATATACGTGATGTTAGTATCAACACCTCATGGGAAACTCTACATATACACTGAAGCCCACATAGTCATTGTGTAGAGTAGGAAGAGTTTTACTTTACTAACTGTATTTGTGCTTACTTGTATTTCTTCTACTTTGAAGTTTCTCAAATATATAATCTTATTATTTTTATTTGACTGTTGTAACAGTCTCCAGATTGGTTTAGGGACCAATCTCCATTTTCCTTATTGTCCATTCTTCTTTATACTGCTCTCATACTAAAAAAAAAGTTGGGTTATGTGATGAACTTCAATTTATAAATTCAACTCTGCTTTCCCAGCCTCGGTGTTAGGCATAGGGCAAACAAGTAGACCCTTCTGCCCTTTCGTCTTTCACTCAGGGAGCTCAGTCCTCAGTGACTGCTCATTGCCTAGGATGAAGTCTGACCTCCTTGGGCCTTCGCAATCTGGCCCCATCTGTTTTTCTAGGCTCCCTATCTTTTCACATTCACTTCCCATCTCCCTGTGTTCTTCACACCAGTCACACTACGCTTCTCAAGGTGCCAGAGCACCCCATGTTCCTTCACTTTTCCGTGTTTTACTCATCTGTGTGAAACGCTGTCCCTTGTTCTTGCTCTGTAATCACCCCAGTTCAAAGGTCTCTTCTGTCCCCATCCACTCAGGCAGAGGTAGTCTTTGCCTCCGCCGAGAGCCTGAGGAACTGTTTGCATTCCTCTGTCTGATGGTATCATAATTCTCTAAGCGTCTGTCTCTCCTGCTGCCTCTTCAGCCTCTTCGGGAGCAAGTGCATTTCTCCTCTTAGCTCCCCGGCAGCATGACTGAAGGAATCAGTGCCTGTCCATGGGAAGCTCTTGATGAATGTTGGTCGAATCAGTAAATAAATGAACTCTTCTGAAATTTCCTCCTCAAATAATACTACCCTTAAAAATATCAGTTTCTTGG